GTTCATTGTCACCTCAGAGCTACAGAAAGAAAAACGAAAAATGAATTTAGGGCTTTTCTTGTAAACTCTATAACTTTGCAAAGAAAGGTCGTGTAGAGCTGGGAGATGCCTCGTTTTAATCAGAAATGTACTTCCCTCGTTAGATAGTTATAACAGCATAGCATCATTTTCCGTAAACGACAATTTTGTACAATGGATAAAGATCTATGATGACCCGTTGATGGTCGACGAGAAGAAGATGAGCCATCGTGCTTACCACACAATTTGTGTGGCTGTGTGGAGTATAAGAAGGTGAGGCCGTCGTTGGAGCAAGCATACTTACCTGTCAGATGAGCGAAGGATGACCACCAATATTGTTCCGTCAGGTTCCTGCTCTTGCACATCGGTGGATCTGAAACTGCGATAGGCTCTCACTGAGGCTTACTCAGCTGGAAAACTTATTTCGAAGGGGATGTATACGCGCGTCTCCTTTCAAACAAACATGCGAAACTGATTATGAAGTCGAAGCTGATAGAAGTACTTTGATAAATGAACCGTGCGAGCTCAATATGACAAAATATATGTCGTTCAACTGTTATTTCACACAGTGTAATTTTATTAAAACTTTCAACGAACTTTGAAGTATGATGCTGAAAATTACTACGAAAACAATGAATAAATCATAATGTTTCTAGACTAACTGATTCGTGAGAGTCCCATGGGTTTTCTAAGATAATTGCATTTCTAAGGTCGCATTCATCTAAATGTTCATGCATTGTACGATGGTTACATTCATTAATGTTTGAAATATTCCCAATTCAACTGTCTGTGTGTTTGTGTTTTCTCACATAGGATGAGAAAAACTGAGAAAACTGTACGCAGGAATGATTTGGAATCAATCGAGGGAAGGCGAGCAAGGATAACGGACCTGAATAGTATTTCGGACGGTCTGTGGATGGATAATGGTATTCATCAATCGCAATATTCACCAATTTGTCGAATTACCCTCTCAAAAACTGCCAGTAGCTAGTTGATAAAAAATAACTTTTAAATGATGTTTACTTACATATACCAAAAAATAGAACAAAATAGAGAGATAGATGATTTGTTTAGATCTAATCTTCTAAATAAATATGCACGTTGTTTAATCCAGTTTCTTTAAAAATGTTAGATCCCTTAACAGATGCGAAGGCTGACCTATGATTGATCCCAAGCTTTTCGGATCGTTCATGAAATTGTGTTTAAGAAGTACTTTGACAATCCGAATTTACCGCTTTGTAAAAGATTTCGAAAGGGTACTTGAAGTCTCATAAATACTTTTCACAGATCTAGAAAATAAAATTAAGTGAAATGCGTAAAATATTGGCCAGGTTCTTTAAAAATTCCATGCTGAACACTTCATTCGTTTTGTTATCAGGTCGGACTAACTTTGCTTGTTCCACTTTTCTCTATACGATTCGACAATAGGTGTTAGTGTTAAGATCATCTGAAGCGCTCTCACTTTCTCTTGGATTAAATCCGAAACTGTCATCATCTGTCTCACTTGTTTTGCCATAGTTTTCACACTCACCTATATGATACTTCAACGTTAACTATATGCGAAGGAAAGTAAACAGCAATCGAACAAGACTTTTAATAAATCATGATCGATTCTTATTCTTTTGAATACAGTCTTCTACTGTATTTTTACTTTTGTTTTTAATTTTTCGTTCTGCACTTTATATTCACAGTCGATTAATTCTTCTAATATTATTATGCCTAGCGTGAAAAGAAGTTTTTTCGGACCATTAATCACTCTATTCAATATATGACGACGAAGAAAAATAAACTATGGTTGGAGATCGAATTCGCTTTAAACTAGATCTATTGTCTAACTCTGATTTTATACCATACATCACTGATAGACGAGGAATTTTGGTAGTGAATCTCATCGGGAAATTGTAGAAAAAAACTATCGAAGACTTTTTGTTGGTTTGAATTCATTAGAAGGCTCTGTTTCTGCAATACAGAATAGACGTTGACATTTGTTCTGTCTCTACATTAATTACTTGTTAACTAACGGAAGAAATACTTTATATATATATAAGCATTTATTGGATAATAAAAATAAATAAAAGAAATGAAGATAAACTTATTATAATATCTATCATGTGCACGATTAATCTTAACAGTAATGAGAATATCATAAAACGTGAATACTAAAAAACGAATGAAATAAAAAAGTAAAAAACTAACAATAAGAGATTTAGGAGAAAATTTTGGGTCAATGTGGTCGGTGGGTGGATAAGGGTAGCGAAAAAGGTAAATTCAGTGAACAGAGTTTAGAAAGGCGGAAGACCTGTGCGACAGCACGGCAACTTTACTTTGATGTGAGAGTACGCTGCGTAGTATCAGAAAATCTGAATGTACTACACTTCAAAAGGATCTGACACATTTTATGTAAACAAGAAAAGCGTCATACACAAGAAACTGAGGCTACATGTCGATGGGATAGCTTTTCATAGCTTTTGAGCGAGTTTTTCAGAAGCCCCATAGCAAAAAAATTTGACTTTTTTGCACTTTTATTGCGTAAGCGCATGCATGTGCCGCACATGGCCGCGTACATGTTCATTAGATCCACCATGGCCGACAACTTGTAGCAAAATATCGACAAATTATTTTACGCTGAAACAGATTTTAAGTAAAACGCGTTCAACAGAATCAGAGCTTAGTTTCTGTTTTTTATAAGACTGTTTTTAAGGGCCCCCTCCCCTCGGAAATTATTTCAGACATCGTACATCCGATCTTGACGAAACTTTCCATAAATCTTCGGCACAATGAGTTACGGGAATGAAAAAATGTTTTTGTCTCCAAGTCTTAAGGTTTAGGAGTTTTCCAGAGATCAAGGTCCAAAAAGGACCTTGAACGGCGTCCCAAGATTTTTTAATATACTTCAAGCTGGAGAGTTCGGATTTGTTTTATATTAAACTAGACATCTAACTACATCGACTGACCGGCGCAGATTTTTCAATTAAGTCTTTATTGGTTTTCCAGGCAACCAACAACCTCCAAAACCCGAAAATCCTTCCGGGTTTTCTAAAAATCCTTAGTTTGACAAAAAACTAGGATCTAATTCAAAAATCGACGCCGGTCAGTCCATGTAGTTTCTTTTCCTCTTTTAAACAAAAAGAGAATGAACTCTCTACGACAAACCGCTATTAAAAATCTTGGGATGCACTGCAGGTGTATAGATACTCTTATAGAGAGAAAACGCCGTATTAAGCGCTGTATGAAATACTCGATTTTAGGACTTCTGGAAAAATGCGTGTAACTTTTTGGTGCAAGGTCATACAGAGTTGTGCGAGGTCTTATTTTGATCAGAAACGTTTGCTCTACAAGTCTGTGTTTTTAGAAAAATTTTAATTGCATAAGTATCCAGGAAAAAACCATTATTTGAAGACCCGTTTTCTCGAGGCTCTTAGAAAACTTGCTCAAAATCCCGGAAAAACCACTTTTGTAACCAAAAGCAATACAGATTCTGGAAGTAGACACTTCAGGCTATCTTTACATGTGCGTATCTCAAAACCGATCATCATCATTTCTAAGAGGGGGGCTCTTAAGCTTCAGGGCTTTCGCCATTCACAGTAACGATACATCGGAGGAAGTTTTTCTTTTTTTTGATTTGTAGATAACACCTATAGGTAGGAGTTGACAGAGTCCGATTTCTAAATTATGCCTCTTTACAGCAATGAGGATTTCTAAGAAAACTTCCGAGGATTTTTCAGATTTTAAAGTTCTATTAAGCACCAGAAACCAGTAAATGAGAAATTCAAAAATCGGACTCTATCAACTCCTAGGCATAGGTGTTTACTGCAAAACAAAACCTCTCTATCATTTACCTGGAGTAAGAATTCTTGTGAATGGCAGACGCTTATTTTTGGCTCTTGTTGTGGCGCCCTCTCACGAACAGTTGCAAGTGACGCCCAAAAACAAATTTCGTTACCACACTTTGACATGGTCAACATTTCCTGAATGTTTGGCTCAGATCAGACCTACCGGGGCTAGGATAGGTTTCTGACCCGGTGGGGAGGGCTTAAATAGTAGTCATTCGAGATTCGCTGAGAGCATTTAAATTTTTAATTCGCTTTATTCAAGGCAGCAGTGCGACACTGTTGAAGAATCAAGAAAAATTTTATATTTTCGGGTGTCCTATCATGGACCTTGACCTGCATGTGCACTCACTAAAAAGTTGTTGAACGCTTTCTAGAGATTAAGTACTAGCAGAGTCTGGAAGAAATATAACCGTAAATTCAGTCTTCGGTGTTACTTATATAGATGAATGAGAGCAAAACAAAGGGGTGAATGAAAGTAGCATCATTAAATCTTATTAAGATCTTAAACGATAAGTTTTAGATTATCTTATCAAAATCTTAAAGGATAAAATCTTAGTAAGATATTTTTAAGAAGTATCTAAGCTTTTTACTAGGGATACCTGCATATGAAAGAGGAGTTGGGGTTTTATATATACATGGGGGCTCTAATATAGTATTTTTTGCGTATGCCAGATATCAAGTCGGCAGTTTTCGACTGTAGGTCACATTATTTTGTACTCCTGACTCTGTCTAAATCACGCGCATTAGAAAAGCACCTTGTAACTGGCGAGACAATATTCAACTTTAAGGCATAGTTTTGTTTATTTTTTTGTATTAATTGTATGGTAAAAACATAAACCCTTTTCCTTTCTACATCAGCAGCACAGTTCCCTTACATTATAGAACACGATAGAGAATCGCTGTTATTCATGACAGGTTGTTGAACTCGTGAGGTTTTTTGAAAGCTATTTGTTAGTTCGATCATTGCATTTAAAAGCTTAGCGTGTTCACTTAAGTAGAAAGGTTTGCCATACTGGATCTCTAACCTTTTTTTCAACCGTTCATATTCATTGTCTGCGTTCATTGTAGCTAGGAGGCGAGCATACATAAGAAGCGCTTGCCCGTTTGAAAATCCAAACATTTCATATAGATACGATGGTAAATTATACTCACGAAACCACCGTTGAACGTCATCGCTATTCCAGTCAGAAATCGGTTTCTGTTCGAAACGAGAGATTAATTTCTCCAGCGAACCCATTAATACAGCGTACTGGTCACGATGGAATAATTCATCATTTAGACGGTGAGACAGCTCTTCGTACTCAGCATGGATTTTTGCATCATCAGCTTGTAAGATCAATTTCGCATAGGTTAGTAATGCAGGGCCACTTGGAAAAGAAAATAACTCACACAAACGTGGGTTCAGTCTTTCATGATGAAACCACATTTTAACGTCATCTTGTGTCCAATTCATAAGAGCTTTTTCATTAACATGTGTTTCCGTCGTTATTTTCGGCAGAACTTCGGGTAGAGGGTGACCCGGGATGAGAGCCTTTAGTTCGCTTTGTACAAGCACTGGAGAAGTAATCTTCGGTTCGCTCCGTACAAGCACTGGAGAAGTAACCTTCGGTTCGCTCTGTACAAGCACTGGAGAAGTAACCTTTGGTTCAGCTAATTTTAGTTCATAAGGAGCTTGAAGTCGTAGTGCCGGTAGCTTCGACTGTTCGACAGGCTTTACTTGTAGTGAGATATCTGCATGTCCTGACTTCGACTTCTTCTCATTTATCAGAATCAGATCGATCAGTTTGACCATTGTTTCTTCGAATGGACCCTTATTAAACTTTACATAGGTCGCATTCTCAATCCTTATTTCCAACCATTCCTCTGGTTGATAGTCAGAGAGGAAAATCGGTATGATTCTTTTCCCTCGTTTGTCAGCATGTATTGCTTCTCGCCGACACGATTTACTTGCACAATAATTTTCGGTTGCGATTATTAGAATAGTATTAGATGCTGTTATAGCATGAGCTATATCTTCCCAGCAATCATTTGATTCCTGTTTCTCGAAATCAACCCATACTGAGCTAATTCTTTCTTTAAGTTTCTGCACAAGTTTCTGGCAAATAACAGCGTCACGATGTGCGTAAGAAACCATGACGCTCATTCCATTCTCATTTTCCTTGCTTGAGGTATTATACGTAAGCATTTCTTGATGGATATCAAGATTTGTTAAGATGCCTTGAGCCGAATTTCTAATACTCGACCGTCGTTCAACGTCTATTTGTGTTTCTGTTGTCGGCTGCTGAGCTGCAAGCAGAACAAGACGAATAAAATCATTGTTTGACTTCAGTTTATTATCATAACTGTCCTGGAAGCTGATACTCCAGAAAACCTTAAATAATGTAGTACAGATAACTTCGTACGTATTCGTCAATATAGCATCTTCAGTTACGATCGAATTACACTGAATAAATTTTTCCAAGAAGAAATCGCAAGTTGTTTGATTGCATCCACTGATTTTGACCTCATCCAGAACATATATCATACATTTATCGTTAATTATGAGTTTCGACAAGGGAATTAAGAGTTCTGTCACGTGGTACGAGCTTGTTAGAAACGAAATGAGCGATCATTTAGGACGTCCAACTGAATATCGAAGTTTTCAAACTTGGCTGATGCAACTGTGACTCATCGTGCTCTGACATACTTAATCATTGTGCCCGTGGTGAATTGAACGCTTCATATATACCATTCATGATATGGTGCTATCGGGATATTTTATAATCAAATTTTTGAATGCTCTGACTCCCTCCCCTCTAAAATAGCTAGGTACAATCATTTGCCAATCTTTCTCTTTCTGATACATTTTTTTCCATTCTTGATATGTAAAGAAAGCTTATCACCAGAGAACCAGCGGTGAAGCTACAACAAGAGTAAACGATTTCACGTACTAACTGTCGAAGTTCCTTGGTACTTAATGTGTTTAAAGTCCTTCGGAAACTCCAACGGTTACACCGTTCGGTTCATGCGCCTGTTAAATGCGAAATGTCAGTTTTTTATGCACATGTAACGTAAGTGTACAAGAGAGGACAGACATCCCAAGTATGATAATTTAACTGCATTAATACAATGCACATCACTTCAAAGCTTCACTTGGACACTCATAGTGCTATAATACCTCCACACTTCCGTCAGAGTCCACAAAAGAACCAGAGCACAATGCACTGTTTTGTTTCGGCGTAGAATGAATCAGTGGACGAAATAAATACTCAGACTTCAAGTGAATCATATGCCACTGTATCAATTGCTAAAAACTGTTCCTGATAGCAAGCAATCTTTCCTCAAGTCTTCATCCCTCAGCATTATGAACAGTGATCTTTGATTGACACGTGTCACGTCTAAATTTGACTACGTAACAGAAGGATGACTTCTATAATCGATTGCCATACGAATATCTGAGTCAGTTTCGTTTTTCAATTCATATGGTTTTAGCAGTGCTGAGTATATAATGTAACATGTAGCTAATAAATCGTCGTGGTGTGTGAATAACGTTGACGAATACGTTGATTTGAATTCTTTTAATAAAGTAATTGTATTAAATTTGTTTAGATCCACGACGCCCGCTTCATGACGACACATATTGCCCAGTGTCGATAAAAATGGAACCCAAATATCATACGAAAACTGATCAAAACCTTTTGATGATAGCCATTCGACGAAACGTTTCGGATATTCAATTTCGACAAAATAAGGTATCAGATCCACTATATTGGTAAGATTTCGAACGAGTTTCAAGACATAAAGCAATGCCGGATACGCTATGGCTGTTGTTGGATCAGAAAAGCGCTGGTCGATATAAAGTATAATTGCTTTAAGAAATGGTTGGTTTGTAGTGTCGAAAAAACTGCATTCATTCGAAATAGAGTTGAAGAGCGCGTATGCATGGCCTCTATTATATATAGATCTCGAACTAACAGCAGTGAAAAACATTAGAAATAATTCATGTATATTCCTAGTACGATCATCTAAAGCCTGTTCTCCTTTTAGATAACTCAGGTTCGGTTGTGAATTCAAGTATGCCAAGGCTGTTTCTAAACAGCTATTATTTGCCTGTATATCCGTTTCCATATATATATAGAATTGTTTCAGAAGAACGGCGATTATAACAGTTACTGTCGAAAGATTGAGTAAACCTTCTTTTATGACACACAGCAAACTATTGATTTCAATCGATGTCATTGCAAGAATGATTTTCTTTTTGCTGGCTGGATCGAGTAATGAAGAATCATCATCTATATTAGCTAAGTTATTATCTAATTTATGCAGCAACTCAAGCTCAGAATCTTGACTAAAACTGTTGATACTTTTCTTTTCAGTTAACGATTCTTCAAGCTGATGAATCAGCTGTAAAATAGAATGTAGTTGTGGAGAATGTGCAGCCATTGTAATCTTAAAACAGTTAAATAAAGCCATTGTAAACCTTTAAAACAGTTGTAAAGACGTGAGCCTTCATTTATCATACATAAGAAATTAAACGCTTATAAAACAGTTTTCCCATAGCTTAGAATGCTACAATGCAATATTTTTTCGTTTGTATTCTGACAGATTAAAGGTTATATCCGCGGTTATCAAAAATGATGCAGGAGACAGTTAAGAATACTCAGTTAAAAATTACTGTAGTTAATGCTATAACACTTCCATTTTAACATAGATTTTCTCTTGGATTAAATCCGAAACTGTCATCATCTGTCTCACTTGTTTTGCCATAGTTTTCACACTCACCTATATGATACTTCAACGTTAACTATATGCGAAGGAAAGTAAACAGCAATCGAACAAGACTTTTAATAAATCATGATCGATTCTTATTCTTTTGAATACAGTCTTCTACTGTATTTTTACTTTTGTTTTTAATTTTTCGTTCTGCACTTTATATTCACAGTCGATTAATTCTTCTAATATTATTATGCCTAGCGTGAAAAGAAGTTTTTTCGGACCATTAATCACTCTATTCAATATATGACGACGAAGAAAAATAAACTATGGTTGGAGATCGAATTCGCTTTAAACTAGATCTATTGTCTAACTCTGATTTTATACCATACATCACTGATAGACGAGGAATTTTGGTAGTGAATCTCATCGGGAAATTGTAGAAAAAAACTATCGAAGACTTTTTGTTGGTTTGAATTCATTAGAAGGCTCTGTTTCTGCAATACAGAATAGACGTTGACATTTGTTCTGTCTCTACATTAATTACTTGTTAACTAACGGAAGAAATACTTTATATATATATAAGCATTTATTGGATAATAAAAATAAATAAAAGAAATGAAGATAAACTTATTATAATATCTATCATGTGCACGATTAATCTTAACAGTAATGAGAATATTATAAAACGTAAATACTAAAAAACGAATGAAATAAAAAAGTAAAAAACTAACAATAAGAGATTTAGGAGAAAATTTTGGGTCAATGTGGTCGGTGGGTGGATAAGGGTAGCGAAAAAAGTAAATTCAGTGAACAGAGTTTAGAAAAGCGGAAGACCTGTGCGACAGCACAGCAACTTTACTTTGATGTGGATGTAGACAATGTTTACTCCTGCTTAACTCCTTAAACTGGTATTTAGACTTTATGACTGTGATGTTTACATCTTCTTCAATTGATGTTCTATTAACGTGCCACTAACATCTCTTTAATATTGATTTAGAGTGCATCATCTGGCTGATTCAAAATGATCTGAACATGAGGATGAGTGTGTAGGCTTCGTGTGTATTGATTTATACAGGAGACTGATTTTATGTTTTAATTTATTCCTTACGGTGATAATTTATTTTATTTTTATATTTATTTGTTTTTGGTTTCTGTGGAGAACAGGACGATTGATTCTAGATGCCTCATCTAAAAACTGCTATTTAGTGTATAATAAAAGCGTTGTTTCAAATTTTCACCAATTTAACCAAGTGATTTTCGATGATCTTTATATGATTCTCAATCCGTCTATATGATCCCTTAAATCGCTTTTCTTCCCTTGAGAGTAAGAATGTTACTTTAACAGCTAGTTATTGTTTCGCATTTTTGTCGGGTCACCCATGGGTAACCCTTGGATTAACCCATTAAATTACCTATATTTCCAAAAAATCATTATAAAAGAGTTTGTTGGACGAAGATTTCGTTATGATATGACATCTATGATTCATCAGTACCTTAATATTTATTGATCAATCTAGTAATTAAGTGTAACATACATACATATAGCTTATTTCGTCTTTTATTTCTCTCTCTAGTCTTCGTCTCTTTTCTATTTTTCTCGTTTCGTTGTCGGCGAAGTTGATATCATCACTTCGCATTTAATAGTGTCAATGTATATAATAGTTCAACTAATCTAACTTCTATATATAGAATTAGGTTGGCAAGAAAGTTTTGTCGTTTTTTTTCCAAATTTTCACAGAACTTTCGAGAATGCTCTGGAAGTTTCTATATGAAGGATATATAGGAAGAGTGAGTAGCTATCGAACCATATAACAACTACTGATATGGATGTTGATCGTGAAACAGAAATTAACTTGTCTCGAAGAGAGATTCGAGTGCTTTTACTCTATGAATTCTTTCTGGGTCATAAAGCAACGGAAGCAACGAACAATATATGTAGGACAATGGGCCAAGATATTATCTCCACACGTACGGCACAGCGCTGGTTCAGTCGGTTCGACAATGGGGACTTTGAGTTGGACGATTCACCTCGCTCTGGAAGACCGACCGAAATAGATTTGGACCAATTAAAACAACTTATTGAAGACGATCCTCGGTTGGCGACACGCTGCGTAGCAAAGCAGCTCGGATGCTCCCATACCACGATCGAAACACATTTGAACGAATTGGGAAAGACGTGGAAATAT